ATAGCCAAGAAATGGAAGCAACCTAAGTGTCCATCAGTAGATGAATGGATAAAGAAGATGTGGTACATATACACAATGGAATAATATTCAGCCATAAGAAGAAAACAAATCCTACCATTCACAACAACATGGATGGAGCTAGAGGGTATTAAGCTCAGTGAAATATGCCAGGTGGAGAAAACCAAGTACCAAATGATTTCACTCATATGTGGAGTATAAGAGCAAAGGAAAACTGAAGGAACAAAACAGCAGCAGAATCACAGAACCCAAGAATGGACTAACAGTTACCAAAGGGAGAGGGACTGGGGATGATGGGTGGGAAGGGAGGGATAAGGGTGCGAACAAGAAAGGGGGCATTACAGTTAGCAGGTATAATGTGGAGGGGGTACGTGGCAGGCTCTACAACACAGAGAAGACAAGTAGTGATTTTACAGCATCTTACTACGCTGATGGACAGTGCCTGTGAAGGGGTATGTGGGGGGAACTTGGTGAAGGGGGGAGCCTAGTAAACAATGTTCTTCATGTAATTGTAGATTAATGATACCAAAATTAAAAAAAGTTAGGTGTAAGCGATATTTTTAATTGCTGTAAAGAAGTATCTTGTTGGTCAGGGCCACTGCCCTACGAGATGACATGGTAACATCCTGGGAGTTGGGTAGTCCTCAGCCTGCACAACCAGATGTGGCTGCCTGGTGCCACAACAGGAATGAAATTTCCTTTCCTGGCTTTCAAAGCTTCATTTGTCAAAGGGTTTGGGCTAGTCTTAGTACCCTCTAAAAATGTCTCATTGAACCCCTACCCTCTTTCATCTTCAGGTTGATAAATAGGGTCTATTGACAAAAAAACTGAAGTTTTTTTTTTATGTACTTCTCTTCACACATGAAGGTGAATGAATTCATTAGCCCAGATCTGCCACCTCACTTATTGAATTAGTGTTCTAAAAATAACAGTAATATCCGAAGGCAAATATTTATACCTAATTTCCAGGCCCTACGAGCCCTTATTTAAGTTCACATTTTCCTTATTGGATGGATGCATAAGACCAGTGCTACTTTGTAGACAGGTGAAGTAAGTGAAATGATGCCTGAAAATCACTCAACACACGCACTTGCTGTGTGCTCTGTACTGACAGAAAGTGCTGAATTAGTAAAATGCATGGGAAAATTCAGCTGTATATTCCTTACTATAAGTGGGCAAATTTGATAAATAAACTGCTCAGAATAGTTTCTCTGAAGAACTTGGGTTACACTTGCCATGATTTGTCTTTTGCAAATCTTGGAAATTGACGTCATTCTTTTTTAAAAAATCCAACTTAAAAAAACAAAAAACAAAAACAAAGAAAATACAAAAGATAAAATTAAAAAATTCCAACTTGATTTTTAAATTTTTATTAGCTTTTTTTTATTGAAGTACCATTTATATATACTCTTATATTGGTTTCTGATATACAACACAGTGGTTCAACAGTTACCCATATTATGAGGTCCTCACCCCTTCTAGTGCGGTTGCTGTCAACATAGAAAGATATTACAGAATCATTGACTGTATTCTCCATGCTGTACTACCACCCCATGACCAACTCGTATTATGATTGAGAATTATTGTGCCCCTTTATCCCTTTCCCCTCCCCACTGACCTGCCCTAACTTCTCCCCTTGGTAACCACTAATCATTTCTCAGTGTCTATAAATCTACTGCTCTTTTGTTCCTTCTGTTTTGCTTTGTTTTTATATTCCACAAATAAGTGAAATTATATGGTATCTGTCTTTCTCTGCCTGGCTTATTTCACTGAGCAAATATCCTGTGGATTCATCCATGTTGTTATAAATGGCAGGATTTCTTTTCTTTTTATGGATGAATAATATTCCATTGTATATATGCACCACATCTTGTTTATCCATTCATCTGTTAATGGACACTTAGGTTGCTTCCATATCTTGGCTATTGTAAATACTGTAGCAATAAACATAGGAGTACCTAAATCTTTTTGAATCAGGGATTTAGTTTTCTTTGGATAAATTCCTAGAAGTGGAATTTCTAGTTTTAGTTTTCTGAGGAATCTCCATACTGCTTTCCACAGTGGTTGTACCAATTGACATTCCCACCAACAGTGTAGGTGCGTTCTTATTTCTCAACATACTAGCCAACATTTGTTATTTGTCTTTTGGATAGTGGCCATTCTAACAGGTGTGAGGTGGTATCTCATTGTGGTTTTGACTTGCATTTCCCTGATGATTAACAATGTGGTGCCTCTTTTCATGTGCTGTTGGCCATCTGAATTTCTTTTTTGGAGAAATCTCTGTTCAGGTCCTCTGCCAATTTTTTAATCCGGTTATTTTTATTTGGGGTGTTGAGGCTTATAATGAATGGGTATTCGTGATACATTTTGATGTTTACCCCTTGTCAAATGAGTCATTTATGAATATATTCTTCCATACTGTAGGTTGCCTTTTTGTTATGCTGATGATGGGAAATGAACTTCATTCTTAGAGAGCTAGAATCAGAAGATGGAACTGCTGCCATGAATCTGTAAAATAAGGAAGTATGAGAGCGAGAATTCTGATATTCTTTGGTCCTTTGGAAAAGGAAGTATTTTCATATAAACACACTTAAGGATGTAGGAGACCCATGAGCTCTTTGGGGGTATTATGGTGTGAAGTAGATAGAAATGGCAAATCACCTGCCCAGTCTGCCCACCTCTTCCTCCCCCTGACACCATGGCTTTTGAGGGAGGTGCATGAAGTAAATGTGGGTGCTAGTGTCATGAGGCAGAGGGGGATAATAGGTGGGAAGCTGCATGCTTTACATTTTTCAGATTCCACATCTGTGTATGAGAAACCATCATCTCTTTATGAGGAGGACTGAGGACTCTATTGAGAGGCAGCAAATGAGAACAGGCCAAGGAAATGAAGGCTCAGAAAAGAGTGACTTAATTCTCCTGAGAAATTCCATGTTTTACACTAGATTTTGTTTCTGCACTGTTTGCTTGCCATTCCTGAAGAAGGTTTTACAGTTTTACAGACTGTCTTTTGAAATGTTAAACATCTTCCCATTCAGAAACCTTATCTACCATTATAACTTACCTTGAAAATATTTCCCTGTCTATGTATGTATAATACATAATACTAATTGCCTGGTAATATTTTTTGTCCCAAAGTAACACACTATTGAAACAAGGACCATGGGCTTAGACAGAGTAGGGTGAGAGCCTCTGGAAAAAACAAAGCAACGTGATCCATTGTGGGATTTGCTTTAGCCTGCTGGGGGAGCCCAGCTTGTTTTTCTGACTTTACCCAGGTGCTGGTTTTCTTCCTCAAGCCTTAAACAAATGATTTGCAACCTGGGCAATGCAATAAGCAAGCCCAAAACAATGTAGTAAGAACAGGAAGGATTGAAAATAAGATTGCATCTTAAAACCCAGTTAGTTTAAAAAGTAAGTTTCTTAACAAACAGACAATAATGGAGCCCACTTTGGGAGCAAAGCAGGCAGTCTTGAGTGATACGCTCCCAGACCAGGAAGCTGCTATTCTGGGAGGAAATCAGAGCAGTAAAATTCTTGTAAATAACCAGCAAGACTAATTAGAAACTTAATGTCTCTTCAAAGATAAACATTTTGGGACCACCTAGTAGGTGTACATCCCTAGCCCTTTATCTCTCAACTGCCTATAAAACCCCTAGACAATGCACCACCCCGGGGCTCTCTTGTCCCCTCCTGGCCTAAGCCAGGAGCTCTGTCCTCTTGCTTTCTCTCTAAATAAAAGCCTCTGCCTTGCTCTCCTACCTCGAGTGTTTGCAAAGTTCATTCTTCGACTCTGCCAACAAGACCCCGGCATTGCTATGACCATATAGACACAGAATGATATAAGCCCTGATTTTAATAAGGAACATATGAGATCAGAAGTATGGGTATTCCTCCAATAAGGGAGTTATCTTTTAAAATAAAAGGAAACTCAATCAAATCAGTCTCACCCAAAAGTGCTTGTTAATTCAGATACTGTATTGGACAGAGGCTTAGTTTGTGCTGAAAATAAAATAAAATATATAGGCTTATGAACTCTATGAGAGCTTGGGTTAGCTGATGCTTCAATCTCAAGAGAAATTTCCAGGCAAATGTTCTGTATGTTTCCTTCCAGCTAATGTAAAGAGAGAAAGATCAAATGGTTTTAGTAGAGAACTTTATAGAATTTTAAACCTTTACAGTCCTATGAAAGGTACTGTAAAGTTTGAAACAAGTGTTTTAGATAATTGTGGAAAGATAATATTTGGCTAACGTAGTAGATGATAATGGATCCTTATTCATTGATGTTAAATGAACATTCTCAATTAAAAAGTTTTCCCGTTTTTCTCGGGTTTTCATCTGCAAAAACTATGAGAATCCTAGAGTAGCTTTTCATTCCAAGATGTCTGTTGTAATTAACAGCTTCCTTTTTGCAGATATTCACAAACTTAGATTAGATTAAGTTAAAGTACTTCTGACAGTTTCAAAGTAGGATGTACTAGGGAGTTAGATTTTCATAGTCTCTGAGGAAGTAGGAAAGGGATGTTTGGTTTCAGGGGTCATTGAATGACTCATCCACTGACTTACCAAGTGCTTACCCAGCTAACCCCTGCCTTCTCGGCAGCCTCAATCTGCAGAGGCAATTTGGTGGGTGCCAAGACCAAGGCCTGGCCTCCCAGCATCATCTGGGCAGGTGCCTACACTGCTCATGTCAGTCTCCCTCAGGGGAGGGCACATTTTATCAGCGAGGAGACTGAAGCTCACTGCTAGCCACAGCGCATCCACGTCTGTCTGAATGGGGAGGGGACCTTGCCTACCCACTTTCCCAGAAGACAGAACATGGCTGTCACCTGAACTGGCACATGAGGCCCATCTGCAGGCGCCTCTGACAGCTGCTCACTCTGAGTGTGGTTCGGCTGAGCTTGACACAGGCTCAGCAGGGCAGCTGGGCAGTACGACTAGGTGCCAGCTCTGTAGCACCCCACTGTTCATTGTTTTGACAGCTGAAGTGTCAGAGGATTGTCCTTCAGAAAGCAGCTCTGGAAGGAGGTGAAGAAAGCCTGAGACCATTTGGAGGGACAGCTCTTCCAGGTGGAAGCTGAAACCCAGCAGACCAGCGAGGCTGGTGAGTTCCAGCTTCTCTCACTGTTGCTGCTCTTCCAAGGTGTGGACGGCCTGGGATGCTCCTGATTGAAAGCCTGCAGGGGTAACCTCTGTGAATACTTATGGCCAAAGAGGGTCCTCATTTCCACCAGGGACACCTCTTCTACTTCCCCTGGAATGCAGAGTATTTCAGAGTCATCTAGCATGGAACCAGACATCAAAGGCCCTAAGAGAGGGGCAGCCACTGAGGAAAATGGTCTGGCTGTTCTGCATGAGTTCAACATAGAATTATCACATGGTCCAGTGTATTAGTTTGCTAGGGCTGCTGTAACAAAGTATCATAGTCTGGGGGGCTTAAATAACAGAATTTTGTTTTCTTACAGTCTGCAGGCTAGAAGCCAGAGATCAATGTGTCAGCAGAGTGAGTTAGAGGCCTCTCTCCTCAGCTTGTAGGTGGCCACCCTGTCCTGGGTCCTAAGTGGTCTTCCATCCATACATGCCTGTCACTATTCATACTGGGTTAGGGCCCACCCTAATGATCTCATTTTAACTTAATTACTTCTTTAAAGGCCCTATCTCCAAATATACTCACATTTTGAGGTACTGGGGCTTAGGATTCCAATGTAAATATTTTGGGAGGACATATTTTAGCCCATACCACCTTGTAATTCCACTCCTAGGTATATATTCCAAAGAACTGAAAACAGGTGGTCAAACAAAAACAAAACCCATAATGAATGTCCATGTGAGCACTGTTCACAACAGCCAAAAGGTAGAAACAGCCCAGTGTCCATCAACTGATAAATGGATAAACAAAATGTGGTGTTTCCATACAATGGAGTATTCAGCCATAACAAGGAATTAAATACTGATATGAGCTATAACATTGATGAACATTGAAAACATGCTGAGAAAGACAGATACAAAAGGTCATATATTATGTGATTCCATTTATATGAAATATCTACAATAGGCAAACAGAAAGTAGATTACTGGTTTCCAGGAATGGTTGGGGGAGGGAATTGGGAGTGACTGTTAATGGCATGGGATTTCCTTTTGGGGTGATGAAAATTCTAGAACTAGTTAGTGGCAATGTTTGTACAACATTTTGAATATACTTAATGCCACTGAATTGTATACTTTAAAATGATTGACATGGTGAATTGTATGTTATGTGTTTTACCACACATGAAAACAAGGCCCTGGAAGATGATGGCTGGCAACTTAGCATCCCCCCGAATGCCAGCATCTTACTTCTTTCTCCCTTGAGCTGGCTGCAGACTCAAAGCCCTCTGTTTCTTCTATATCTTCCAAAGGGGATTTGCCAAAACTACTCTGTTATCTTCTTCACCTGGGTTTTGTGTATCCAATAAAATCTTTTATCTTTTACCTCCTGTTTAGAACCAACTATGAGATAGACCTGGAGATTGGCTTTGTACTGAGAGGGTGTGGTTGAGGACGGCTTTACCCACTTTACAGGCTCTCAGACTTGGTCAGCCGAGGACCAGTTGAGCTGGCACAGGTAACTCCCCCAAGGGACATGCCAGTCAACAGGCAGATCTGAATGTGAGGGCACCCAGCAAGTGGCCTACCCTCCTCCTAAATTTACCAGCCATGTGTTCCCTCATCCCACTGGGGAGGAAGGAGAAAAGCTGGAAATGTTCCTTTTCTCTGGAGACAGCATGAGCATCCCCTCCCTCTGTGGAAGCAGAAAGGTGAGCATTAAGACCACCTCTCCCTAAACCTCCCTCCCTCTGAACACCCTCTCCCAGGTTAGCTTAGTCACTATTAACAGGGAATATTCTAGAGAGGATTGAATATTTTTGGGCTTTCCTTCTTTTAATATTTAAAGAAACTGGACAGAAAATAAGCTTAAACTGTGTTGTCTTTAACACAGCCTACAGTAACTCTCAAACTGGATTGTGGATCAGAATACACCAGTGGGCTGGTTACACATATTCAGATTCCTGGTACCACCCGTAGACTGTCTAATTCCAGTGGGTTGGGGCCTGAGAATGTGCATGTCCAATAAGTTCCATGTGAAACCCAGTAATTCTGGGGATGGAATTTCTACAACCACGGAGGTAGAGAAAGGCTTTTATCTCCTTGAGGAGAGATTATCCATGTGGTGTCCCGTCCTCTGTCGCCTAGGATGCTCCAGACACACACCTGGTCCATTGGCCTGGCTGCACACCCAGGGGGCAGTGTGGCTGCTGACAGAGAGCTCAGATCCCCGAGGAGGAGGAGACACTGCTGCTGTCCCAGAGGGGTTGAGGCCGAGCAGAAGTGAAGGCTCACTGCTCTGAAAACCAAGGAGGCGAAGGGGCCAGTGAAGCAGAAACTGCAGAGCCTGGTCAAAGGTCTGCATGGAGGTGAGGAGCAAGGCCTGCCAGCCCCACCTGTTTGTCACCTAGGGCTGGAGTCACAAGAGGTGGAGGCCCAAGAAGTCCTGTGACAGAGAATATTCAATGGCCCATCTCACCTGGGAGGAATGGTGTCATCTCTGAGGTGAGGTCCTACTCATCTTGGCCTTAGAAAATGTATCCAGACATTGTGACTCACTTTTCTGTGACTTTCTTTTTGAATATACTTCCAAACTTCCAGAAAAAATTGCCAAGAATTACACAAAGAACTCATAGATATCTTTGCCCCAGAGTCGCCATTGTTTGTCTTTGCCTCATTTGCAAATGATCACTCTGTGTGTGTGCGTGTGTATGTAGTACATAATTTTTCTGGACCATTTGAGCAATTGGCAGTTTCATCCCTCTTTGCTAATATTTCTGTGTTTCCTAATAATGAGAACATTGTCTTACATAATCACAATACAATGCTTACAGTGAGGAAATTTAACATTACTACAGTATTAATACAATATTGTTATCTAATCTATGGCCCATATTCAAATTTATAAGATAAGAGTCAGTATTGTTGATAGCTTTTCCTCCAGGATCCAGTCCATGATGACACACTGCATACACTTGTCCTGCTTCTATTAGCTCCTTTAATCTGAACAATTTAATCCCTGAGCCTTGCCGCTGCTGATTTGGGGAAATGTACCCACGTGGGGTGCACTGGTACTTGATTATCAGACCCCACCCCTTTGCCTGGAGACCCGCCTTACTGCTGCTGTTAAATTGTAACATTGGTCGGGCTTCCTGAGTCCTAAACTGCTCTTTTCTCAGACCTTTATCCAAGGAGCTGATGTTGGGTGGGGAACGATCACAGCATCAACCTCCACCCAGCCAAATCGAAAACCAGCCCACATCTCTGGAATCTTCGGTTCATTAGCAATGTTCATGTGGGCTTGGCACCTTGAAGCACTATACGCCAGCCTCTGAGGGATGGGAGTGGTGGTTACCAGGGTCTGGGGAGCTCACAGGCCTGTGCTTTCCCTCAGAGGGAAGTGGGCAGTGGGAGGAGGTGGAGAGAGAACATGGCCAAACCAGGGGAGACCTGCCAGCCACAGGCTCACTATAGTTCACCTGTGGCCTGTGCTCTGGTGGCATCTGAGGCTCTAGGCCAGGAGGACAGGCTGCCCTGATCAGTGGGCATAAGGCCCAGTGACCCAGATGAGACACCCACTAAGTGGGAATTGCTGGGCTGTGTCACTGCTAAATTCAGGGATGTTGTGTTTGAACAGAACAAAAGGGCTAAACTTCTTTATTTTTAAAATTCAAATTATTTTAAAACCAATCATATCCTCTTTGTCCTACAATGCACATTACAGTACTTGATTGTCAGCCTCAAACCATTAAAAGAATTTTACAAAGGAGAAGGTCACACCATGCCACTCTGGGTTGCAGAATACAACTCCAAAATACAGATCCCTCTTTCTTGGGCCTGGGCTTTCCAGTACAGAAATGTGTTAGTTCTCTAGTAATTAAAAACACTATCTCAGACCTACCATAATATGCCAGTTATTTGAGAGTTACTGCTATTGAACTACTAAATAATGAGTTATCACCCATTAGCAGTTAGAATCTAGGAATCAAATCCAGTGTTTTTATAATGGTCCACTTTTAGTGCAGTTAGCAAAACACCAGTGAGACCATATTCAACTAAACATCTGATTCTTTAATCTTCTCCATGATTATTTGTATTGGTTGAAACTATTAGTTCTTTATACTAATAATAACCTAGCCAGGCTGAGGGTGCATAGATTAGCATGAAGACTTCATTATATGGGTAAAATGCTTCTGATTTTTCAAACCTGGGTTAGTATAATTTTTATTTTCTGGAGATTTTGTTCATGATCATTAGTTGTATATAGCTTCTGGAGAATGCAGAAATTGTATCTTCCTGAGAATACAAAAGAGGTTGAATTTCTGAGATGAAATCTACATAAAGTCAGAGAAGCTGAGAAAAGAGATATGTGGAGGCTCCAGGCTGTGACCCAGAGGTGGTGGCCTATGGGTTTGTCACTCAGACCTGGGCCTGGGGCTTACTCTGGGCATTGCTGTAAGCAAATCACATATATTACCTCATTTTTTCATCTTATATGAGGTGGATGATATTTCATCCCCATCCATTTCATAAAGGAAGAAATGAAGGCCATTTAAATCTCCTTCCCTTTCCCATGTCTGCCCTCCTGTCTGGACCCCGAAGCCTGCCAGACTGAAGGCAATGCATCCAGTGTCTCCTTGGGCTGCTCCTTGCCCTCCTGCCCCACTGAGAAGAGAGGGATGATGGAACTGTAAAGGCGGGTGAAGTGTTTTACTTGACTGGTGCAGATGTCATATAACTTTAGCACCTTCCACTTGTACAGATGACCAAATATTGGCTCATTGCCTTGTGAGGTGCTTTTGTGTGTGTGTGTGTGTTTTGCCCTCTACCTAATGGGCTTCTAATGCAAGTCCTCAGGATACCACATTCTTCTCTGCTCCTGCTTCTGGCATTTGGGTTACCTAACTCTTGGGTGAGCTCCTTTACAGATATTGTGGGGTAGCTACCTTCCTCACTGTCAACTCTGGCCCAAGGGAACATCCACCTTTGCCCTGCATCCAGTGGGAAAGTTCCTTGCTTTGATGAAGTTTTCTCCTCTCTACTCTCGGCTTTTTGCCTTTAGATTTTTCCAGACAAGAGGTAGGCATCAGTGTCTATATCCTTAAAGTTCCAGGTGACATGCTTCAAATGTCTTCAACTCCTTTTGGCTTTTATCCACTGGTTAGCATGTCCTGCATGGATGACCATCATTTCTTTTTAGAACAGAATTCTTGTCACCTATTGTTCTCAAGAGCAATTTTGGAGACATTGAGTCTGATTTTGATGTCCTGTTAAATAATGATTTCATTTAAACCTTACCCTCTGAGATAAGGTATTTCCTCCATGTTAAAGGTAAGGAAACAGCATCAGAGAGGATAATAACCTTGTCTCAACTGTCACACAAGCCCTTGCTGGAATCTGGACCTGCTGCCATATTTGGCCCCTGAGGAAAGTGATATCTTCTCACTCAGCCTACAGGTTTTTTCTGTGGCTGTGAACATGTATCACCAAACTTCCCTGAAATAACACTAACAACAATTTATTGTGCATGTGCCTTGAATAGGTTCAAGCTCTGCATACATTACCAGCTCCATCTTTGCCATGGGGAAATGAAGGCTCAGAGAGGTTAAGTGATTTTCCCAAGGTCACACAGCTCTTAACTGGCAGAGCTGGGATTTAGGTCAGGGTTTTCTGACTCTAGAGTCCACACCCTTTCTTCTACAGTCTATACAATAACTGAATTTATAAAATCCTCCAAATGTTCAGAGAGAAAGGAGGAATGAATATAGGCAAAATTTCACTGTTTGTTGGATTAGAATTATTTTGTTTTTCATTCTTTAATGATCATTTTCAGCCCTCATACAATAACCCTCAACAGCTTTCAACTCAAAACGATGTTGAATATTTTGTATTTGAAAAAATACCTGTAAGAAGAAAAAGATGGCTGAGTAGGAAAACAAGGCAGAAACTTCTTCCCAAAAACACATAAAGGAATAAACTACAGAAAATACAGCTAAACCTGAAAATGATCTACAGACTGCAAAACAGACCACCTACACCTGGGGAAGAAGAGGAGATCACACAGAAAAGGATAAAGTGGCAGACCTGTGATCAAGGGGGACCTAAGCCCTTCCCTCATCCCACCCCAGAGGAGGGAGGAAAAGAAACAGAGCCTGGAGGGAATAGGCACTCAGGAACTCTATGCACCTGGCCCTGGAGATCTTCTCTGAGAGTACGAGTCCACATTACACTGGGTTCTAGTGATTAAGGTGCAGGACACCAGGGACAGGTGGAGCACCCTGGGAGGCTGAGACTCCAGCTGCTTGTGGAGGCCAGGTAAGCTCCAGTGTTCCTGAGAGGTGGTGGTTTGAATGACTTTTCAGCAGTGGGAAGGGTGCCAGAGAAGCAAGAGTTGGATGTAAATCTCTCCTCAGGAGAAAGGGCAGGTGGACAATACCTCCCCAGCCCTCCCTTGGCCCAAAGGCCAAGAATTCTCAGGAGCCCCAGATGCTCTATCCCTCTCACTGGCAACTCAGCCACAAAGTACCTCCTTGTGTACATTGCTAATGAGCCCACCCACTCGGCCCAGCAGCAGCAGCAGACTTTGCTGTCTGGCAGGCAGAGGGAGACTCTCTCAGCTTTCTCAGCCCTGCTTCAACCAAACTGGGGAGGTGCCTGCAGGAGCCAGTCCTGAGAGCTCCTTCTTCCCTATGGGTGTCCAAGCATAGTGCTGCACTTCCCACACTGACCCAGGGTGCACAGTGGCCCTGCCTATTCCGTTAACACTGTAGCCCCACCATCACTGCAGGGCAGGCAGAGGGTAGCCTGCCTACAGCAATCCCAGCAGAGGCTTCTGCTCAGATCATAAAGGCAGCTGAAGCAAACTGCCAGCGCAGCAAACTCAGACCATTACTGGAAGAAAGACAGAAAGGCAGCCCCACCCACTGCACATCAATAGCAAGTGGGGCTCCTGTAAAGTAGAATGTGGCACTGGAGAGTAAAGTGTCTTGAGCTTCTGGGCACCATAGGATGCCTCCTTCATGAGACTATTACTCTCGAGACTAGGAAGCATAGCAGATCCATCTTATACAAAGGACGAAACACAGAAACCCTGACAAAATGAGGAGGCAAAGGAATATATTTCAAACAAACTACAAGACAAAAACCAGAAAGAGGGCTAACTGAAAGGGAGATCACCAATCTTCTTGATAAATATTTCAAAGTAAAAATCATAAACATGCTCACTGATTTACAGAAAAGTAGCCAGGATCTCAGGGAGGACTCCAACAAAAAGAGAGAAGCTGAAAAAGAACCATGCAGAGCTGAAGAATACAGTAACTTAAATGAAACATAATGGAGGGAAGGAATAGATTACTGCAAATAGAGGAGACAACCAATGAGATGGAAATTAGAGAACAGGAACACAATGAAGCTGAGGCACAGAGAAAAAAAGGATCTCTAGGAATGAAAGAATGATAAAAGAGCTGTGTGACCAATTCAAATGAAACAATATTTGCATAATAGAGGTAAAAGAAGGAGAAGAGAGAGACAGAGGGATAGAAAGTCTCTTTGAGGAAATAATTATTGAAAAGTTTCCTAATCTGGGGAAAGAAATAGACACTCAGGTCCTGGAAAGCAAACAGAGCCCCTAATAAAAGGAACCCCAGGAAGATACCACCAAGACATATAATAAAATGGCAAAGTTCAAGAATGAGGAGGGAGTATTGAAAGCAGCCAGAGAAAGAAAAAAGATTACTTATAAAGGAAACCCCACTTGGCTGTCAGCAGACTTCTGAACAGAA